TCCATACATATCTGTGCTGTTTTTGGTGTAATATTTACCCAAAGCCGAGGGTTGGCGTGAGCTTGCGGTGGATTAGTTTGAATTTCCACATGCGCCAAACGATTGTCTGACCTGGTATGCTTGTTGGACAGTCTGCGGTGCGATAAGTTAGGTTGTTTCGAACTTGACCGGTACTGCTCGAGTGTATACCCAAATCGGTCGATGATGATGAGTAGGAAATCCAATCGATCAGGAAGAACCACTTCAAAGTGTACCGCTTCCATTTTTGCGCCATTACGGTGTTTTTACGCGGTACAAAACGGGTGCTACAGGACCATCATAAACTAAGCCGTGAACTGTTTTTGTTAGTTCCTCTTTTGGCGCATACTTGTGCACTGGCATAATAGGCAGCGGCTGCCTGTTTTCGCGCAAAGTTTCAAGCCCGCTGTATGGATTTTGGCTGCGGAATGACTCAACGACTCTGGGGCCAACGGCCTCTAAAATGTTTCCTTCGACCTCAGTGATCTTGGAACAGCTCCGATTACTTCTGGAAATACTTCCACCAGTTAAACATCTGCAAACGGATGTTTAACAAAATGCTCATACTCTCTTGGTGTATGGGCACCTCTGCGCCAGCGTTCGTTACCCTCCCTCATATGAACAATATTTTTCGGTTCTGCCCAGGTTGGTTCTGCCCAGGTTTCCTCTACCGCCGATTGTGTAAGGGAAGTGTTCTTGTTCTTTACCGACTCTCGAGTACTCCTTCCAACTCAGCGCTCATTTTCGACATTTTCGTGAGACGCAAATATTCCTTGCTATTTGACCCCGAAGGAGATCCAGAGTAGCTACGATTCCTTCTTCTGTTCTTTTCGTTGCTAATTCTTTTACGGTGATGAGCTCACTACAGCAAGGCTCGTCTCCTTACGAGGATGATCCACAAATATACGGTATTTTCTGCTTTAGGGTCCCTTCGGTAAAGTGACGCGCTGTACCTGATCCGGCTTTTGCGATTCCGTTTTCACTGGAGTAACTGCACCAAGTGGTCAAGGACCGCCCTGATAGCATCAGCCCATTGTGCAAGTCGTGCTCTCGTCAGTGTCGTCGGTCCGCAGCGTTTGAGCAGTCCGTGCGGTTTACGATACTTTGGCTCTGCTTCCATTAGATGGTCAGTAGCTTCTTTCAAATCCTTCTCCATTTCCATCAAACGTCCAAGATACAATAAGAAGACGTATCCGTTATAGGGGTGCCTTGCAGTTCCATTTCCGCATTTTCACAAAGATGTTTTTTACAAAGTCAGTCTTCTAGTTTATTCGCAATTCGATCTTTTTTCTTATTTCGCTTAGGTGCCTTGGCATGGTCTCTGCTTTAATGATTTTCTCAAGAAAAGAACGATATCTACGAAAAAAACTAGCATCAACTCGTATGCCTCTTGCTCCATTTAGTAACTTCCTTACCTACTGCACAGCACGGTGAACATCGGGGAAATTGCGTGGCCTTGTCGGACTTCCTTTTTAGTAGCTACATCGTCGTCAATTCATACAGCCGACCAACGTTCTCACATAAGCTGGGTTCACTTCTTATCGACAAGCTATGATAGGATGGCGTTAGTTTCAACGCTATCAAATGCTTTCTCGTAGTCTGCGAACGTCAGGACAAAAGGCAGGCAGCCGGAAGACTTCTATGACCGTAACCCATACTCCTTTCCTTAAGGCAAATTGCTCCCGAGGAAACCGGTCTCCTACAGTCTGTCGTATGTAAGCTGAAGGCTAGCCGTTAGGCCTAAGGCATACCCCCCGCGATTCCGTCAAATTGCTACATCTACGCGACTTGGCGTTTTGCCAGATGTCTACAAATTGATCGTGCGCTAGTGTCAAATGCCTAGGCGCGTAGCTTTTGTAAGTTCTCGCAAAAGTAACAAATACAGCCTAAGCAAAGTTCTTTCACGAATAATTATTAAGAGTCGTTGCAGCGCCAGGACCCGCGGCGACCTGGAATCGCGCGAGGTATGCCTTAGGCCCTAGGATCATAGCATGTGTTTAAACATGCTATCGGGCGATAATCACTGGGCTCTCGCGTCATCGTCTGTTTTACCTCCTTCGGCGTCAGGATTACACGGCCCTGGCGAAGCCAGGAAGGAATCATCTTCCTCGGTTTCACTAGCGCTTGACAGCACCAGCGGATTAAACCGAACCTTGTGGTTGAAAAATGCTTCAACCAGAACCCTTGAATGCCATCCGGACCAGTCGCTTTCCATGGCTTCACCTTACGGAACAATTCTTGCCACGCATTTTCTAAAAGCTTCTGAGCCGTTTCCGGAGTCGATCCAGTTCCCAGATCTTTGGCCCACTTCTTGAGCTGAAATCCAGCACGAAATGGCGGACTTGTCCCCACAATGGGTTTCCAGTACTCCCTTACGGTCGTAACTGGTACTATCACTGTGTCCTTCTCACTGGGAGCCTGATGGTGGGCAACGTATGAAGCACCCTTACGTCTAACATGCATCAGACGTTTGGATTCCTCAACACGTTTGATCTTCTGCTGATTAGTGTTTAGCTGGTCCTACCTAACTAGCCCCAAACGACTACCAGCATTATCGCCAAATGTTTCAGACAGTTCGAGGTACTTCCGGGAAACCCGTTTTCGCTGTCCCGCTTACGCACTTTTCTTCTAACTAATTCGCTCGAGATTATTGAGATCGAAATGACGAGAACCCTTCGCCGCTCTATCTCTTCTGATAGAGTCAACTTTAGGCTTTCGATACGATTTTTCACGCCCCAGGCTATCGGTGGTGGCTGCTATCGCACGCGTGAGTGCATACACCAGGTCATTTAGCTTGGTAATGTATCGTTGGCCCTGCGAGACCGGTTCCGGCATTCTGTCACTTAGAATTTCGTTGCCGATCTCAAGAAGAACCTTGGGAATTTCAGACCCAGGTCTCCTTATAGGCACTCTATCTCGGAACGTACAAGCCACGTTGAAGTACTCCTCAACTCTCTGGAGGACCTGGTCTTTCAGACTAGGCTCACAGAGAGCGGCAGTAACCGTAGTCGCGAGGCTCGGGAGATCCCTTGCCGTTTCGCGGCCTACATCTTCTTGAGAAGCATCGCGGCTCAAGTTTCCCCTTGCCTGCCGGAGGACATCTCGAACTTCACCTGAAAACCCGAGGCTCAGATTTCCCCTCGCCTGTTCGGAACCTTCTCTCACTTCAGCATTGCCTTCAGTTGCAGTCATCACAGGTTTCTTGCGCAGTTTCGCGTAGGCTGCCTTGAGAGCGGCCACGGTTCGCTGCGGATCTTCGGGACCACGCCGGCTTTCCGAAGCTAACGAAGGTTCGACCATTGGATCCGTCCGTTCAAGTTCTTATGACGGCTGACCTCCAACGAAAGTTTGTGTAACTCGCAAGCAAGCCACACTATTCGACCGCCAGTCCTCCCCGTCGAGCGCTAGGCTCTTTGATGGGATCAGCAGACTGGGGGCCAGTTGTCCTAAGGAGGACCGTTTGGAGGTTGTATCGTCGGGTTCTGGGGAGCCCGACTGAATACGACTCGGAGAGTTTACCCGGTTAAACGGCCGGGACCTAGCTTCGATCATATCATATGTGTTCGAGACTAGCCGCCGAGCGCCAGCGCACTCGGACGTTGCCCAGTCACACCACGAAGAGGTTTCGAACATTGTGACCATGCGCGTCAGTGGTTAGCTGACGAGGCATTTGGCTACCTTAGGAGAGTCGTAGTTACTCCCGCCTTAACCGCGCTTACTCGAATTACTACGATTTAACATTCAGAGCACTGGGCAGAAATCAGAGACAGTAAACGTCCACAAGGACCATCTGTCTCCTCTGTTTTAATTAAACAGTCGGATTCCCCGACTCCGTACCAGTTCCAGTTCGACCGTTTTGATGGTCGGTCAGGATACTAAGCCCGAAGACAAAGCACACACCTGAAAACCACAAGGCAGTTTGTCACTAGTCCAGCTTCAGCGTGAGCGTCTGCCAGCCAAAGTTTGTACAGCACACTTAGCAGACATCTTGAGCTTTAGTTTCGAGGATCTTCGCCCTTCTTGTAGAGAATGCTTCATGAAGTTTTCTGCTCATCGGGAGTCTTTCTGAAGTTAGATGTCAGATGCGATGCCAGACTCGTGTATGATAGGCTACCAGGTTCCTCTGGAGGCGGTTTGCTGACTTTTCCTGATTACAAGGACAAACTTAACGAGAGATTACGAAAAACATTGCCTTTGAAAAGTTCATTCTTCTACTAAAAGAAATCCGCAACCCGCCTCCGCTCGAACTAGGGAGCCGATAATAGACGTTGCGTTCGGGCTTGCATAAGTTCGACAGAAAGATGATACGGTCCTAGCCGTGGATGTCTCCATGATTTGGACATGCGCATCTCAGCAGATAGAATCAGTGGTATCCAGCGGGAACAACGGGCCTCGGCATGGGTGAGGAAGAGGTGTGTGGTGTGTCTTTGGATTAGGTAATTCCCTTTATTGTAACTTCTCTTCGTCTTTGTGGTGTAGGGTTGTTACCCGCAGCAGACACGCAGAGTTTTCTTCACTTCTTGAGACTTCGCCTTCCTTCGGCCGTTTTCAGTATCTTCGCTTGCCTGTACTTCCGAAGACCTTCCTGCAAACTTGTTCTGCAGCTGGAGTCCGTTATCAGTCACCATAAGTTGAGACGCATCTCGATGAGGTATTATTAGGTTAAACAAAAGGAATGGGAGATCTGGTTGAGGGACATTCTTGCTCCATGAATTCTGTCACTTGGAAGCCTGGGATCTGAGACTTAATGCTCTCTCACAGATCGAAGATTTTCGAAAGAATTTTGCAAAATGCGATCGACGCTAGGCCCAAGAAGTTAAATGTCGTGACAAAAACGACAAATGGATGGATTGTCCGCAATCACACGACGTGTCGTGAAGTGTGCAAAAGTGTCTTGAGCGAGATGGACGGTGCGAACTGACCTGCTGTTTCTAAAGTTTATTAGTAAAAAAAGGATAATTTGGCTTTTGCGTTTGCTCATTCGTGTTTGATTGTGCTTACTTCAGAATACAGTTGAATTCCATAATGCCAGCTGAAGTGAATGTGCCTCTGACAACCTACGAGCGGCTTCAGAAGTATCAGGTTGGTCTTGAATTCATTTTTCTGCTCTCGCATTGTAGTTCTACACGGTGCAGTTTTTAGAGCCTTTTGCTCAGATTACCGTCTATCTTTTGATTTCAGGAAGAATTCGGCTCTGCTCTTCGTCATCCTGACTCACCTGCTTGGTTCAACAAAGAATACAACGAGAAATTGAAAAAGGAGCTGATCTGGGCGGCTCCATATGATGCTCGTTTCCCTCAGGTAAATCAGTTCTGTAACTATCGTTCTCTCTATACCCTATTATCTCAAAGTTTAGGTGCGCAAACAGCGTCAATGTTTCGCTTACTATGTTGATTTCCATCGCTGCAACGAATTAATGGGTGCGGACTATCATCCTTGCAAGTTTTTCCAGAATGTCTACAAAGTAAGCTCTCAAAACTGCTTGATCCCTAGTTACTTTCTACACATGTAGCTCTCTTTTTTTTCCAAATGTACTTTTCCAGTTTTGTTTTGTAGTTAGGAGCTCTTCGTTGAGTTTTTCGAGTTCACACTATGTATATTTGGCTTTCGGTCATGATTTATATTTCAAAAGTGCATTTCTTTTATACTTCGCTTGCTATCTCGTGCAGTTACTATCGAAGTCTCAAAATACGTTAAAACTTCACTTTTTGAATGCAATCTGGCTGAAAGCACTTGCAGTGTTACAAGACTAATGGTTTTCTAGATTTAGCTATGAACTTGTTTTTGTACTTTGTCAGCGCACTCGTTATCAATTAGACTTGGGCAGTTGTAAAATCGCTCGAAATTCGGATTCGAAATATGTTATCCAAAATGTGTTCTTGTTTTTTTGTTATTTTTCAGTCATTGTTATCATTGTTATTGTTACCACTAAATTTTACTACTTTTCCTTTCAGGACTTCTGTCCGAATTTCTGGATCGAGAAGTGGGATGAATTGATCGAAGAAGGACGTTTCCCAGCCAAATTCGACCGCTAAAATCGATTGGAAGATTATATATAGTGTAGTCTTGGTTAAGGATAAACTTGATTGTGATTTCATGGTACCCTCTTGAAGGTGCAGTTGCACTACCTCTTTGTAATGATGCATCAGTGCTTTGTAAATAAAGCTGCGAAGCGAGTATTGATGACACTAGTTTTGTGCGATTCTGGTGTGAAGGCCGATTTGATACTTTACATGAGCAGGCGAGATGGAGCATCACATTTTTTGGTTAATTCTGAACCATCCTTTGACAGATGGCAGAGTCGACTCGGGTTAGTCCTGAGGAAATAGCGAGACGAGAGAAGTATCTCCGAGCAAACTTGCGGGAAGTGAACCTGATGGACCCCTTCACTTGGACGTATCCCTGGAAGGTAAAGGGCTTATACTCATAACGAATGTAAACAAAATCTGTAAAAACCAATACCTTACGTAGCTGTCAATGAGGGTTGGAGCGTAGCAAAATGTTAGACCAGTTTATTACAAATCGAACATTTTTTGCGCAAAAAGACATTGGTGTAGTTGCCGTGGGTTGGGCAGTTTAGTTCTTAGAAGTTTTTTGGGCTGCTTTATGATTACCTGCGTTTTTTATACCTAACATTACGGGGGAACGGAACTTACATACACCGAAAGGCTTGCCGCCGCATAATTAGCGGAGTTCATAAGAGGTCATGAACTGGCAGCAACACTAATTTGCAGGCAATTCTACCGCAGGCGAGCTGATCTGCACACGGTAACTCCTTCACCATCCTACAGTTTATGAAAGCGGGATATTATCAAAATTTCAAATTCAAAGTTCAGCAGTGAATCTAGTCCAGTTAGGCTAAAACTTGTATTTAGGGGTATTTTGTCATGCTGTTTCCCAATATGATGGTGGTTTTGCTTGAAACCTGAAATTTTTTTCTTTGAATACTACTTGTTTTCATAAATTTTCCGGCAAAAATTCCAAAATTGCAATTTAAGGTTCTGACATGCTGTTTCCAAATATGATGGTGGTTTCGCCTGAAAAGTTGAAATTTTCTTTTTGAATTTTGATTTTTTGTAAGTTTCACTGCAAATTTGTAAAACTGAAAAACAAACGAAAAAAATCAGCTACCCCCAAAAAGATAAAAGAATGTCAGAAAACCCCTAACATCATTTTTATAATTGTTGCCGGAAAATTTGTGAAAACAAGTTTGAAATACAGAATTTGCAAGATTTCAAACGGAACCACCATCATATTCGGAAACAGCATGTCAGAAAACCCTTACAATGCAATCTTGAATTTTTATTGGAAAATTCATGAAAACAAGTAAAATTTCGAGGTATCAAACGGAACCACCATCATATTCGGAAACAGCTTGACAAAATACCCTTGAATACAAGTTTTTAGCCCAATTGAACTAGATTTACTACTGAACTTTGAATTCGAAATTTTAATAAAATCCCGTTTTCACAAACTGTAAGGATGGTGACGGAGTAACCTTGTGCAGAATCAGCTCGTCTGCGGTGGAATTGCCTGCAAATTAGTGTTGCTGCCAGTTCATGACCTCTCATGAACTCCGCTAACTATGCGGCGGCAAGCCTTTCGGTGTATGTATGTTCCCTCACCCAACATTACGAGAAAAAAGCTCGGGTGCAAACCTTGTGAATCAAGCCTGGACAACTCATCCATTCATTAAATCCTCTATAGGGTGCTGGAGTGATGTTTGCCGCTTCAGTCATTTCCGCTCATATGTACAATGTTTGGAACAGAAGACCATACTATTTTGGTGAGATAAACACTAGAAATTTTTTTATCTAAGGTATACGATAAAATGATCGGGAGTATGGTTTGATTTCAGCCATCGTACCCCGTTTGGTCTTAACGGGAGTAATGACAGCTATAGGATATGGTATGGGAACGATGAGGGAGTATCACTACAAGACGCGAGATGCCGTTATTCAACATTACATCGAGCTTCATCCGAAAGATTTCGATCATTTCAATGACAGTAGGTTTTTGCTCAGGACTACGCAACATTCGTGGGAAACCTCACTATTACAGGATCCGGCCGTGCATTCTCACAGATTCTCTTACCCTGGTATCCTCGTCGCACACAGTATACGAGATACGATTAATTAGCGAAGCTAGAGTTGTAGACAAATGTTTCTGGTTTATGTATAGAATTGTGGCTCATTAGAATGAAAAAAAATGTCTGACATCATTGTATGAAAATGGATATGGTTTCTACCATGCCTCTTTGAGACCCATTTTCTATCAACGTCTGAATATTTTGTACATATTTGAGCATCATCAGATGGACGAGGCCACATCTTCGGAATCTGCTGATGCGATTGCGAAGAAAAAGGAGTTGCTTTTGCAACGGCTGCAGCAGAGGCGACCAGCTAAACAGTCACGAGCAGGTTAGTTTGCCTTCCAAAATGGCAACTACTATTCATATTTCATGTTGGTTTTTTCATATCAATTCTTGTTATGTTTTGAAATCCTGCTACAGATACTGAGCAAGCAAAAGTGCGAGAAGAAGAGCTGACTGAATTGCTGAATCGTGCAAAGGAGCAAGCCGACTCGGGTGTTGTAAACGAAGAAACGATAAAGGCTTTGGGTCAGTTGTTCTCCTATTTCACATCTCCTATCCAAGTCCTAGTGCCTATAGAGCTCCAGTGTTTTATTTTTAGAGAGTTTCTTGTCGTTGGAAGGATGCGGTTGGTCTGCCAAACGCATACAAGCTGCTTTAGAGATGTTACGAAAGACTAGCGTCGGAGTGAGTGGTGATGGTTCACAAAAATCTGCGTTTTCATTTTCGGTGAGTTCTTAGCTTGTCACTTGAGGTCACTTTTTATGGAAAGCCATAATTGCTTAGTTCATTGGGGCTTCGGGAGTACTTCTCGTTCATTCGCTTGTGTAGCTTTGAATGGCGGAAGAAAGTATTGTAGGCCCCGAAGAAGCCATCCACACCATCACATCGTCCAAGAAAGAAGTCATCGTCAGTTTCATCAGAAACGTCTTCAGTGATTGAGAATGCGCCTTCGGATAATGTGATCAGTCTCTCAAATATGGTAAGGAAATCTTCAATTTGCTATGTCTTTTTAGCGAAAAACTTTAGAGTGACGAAACGCGACTTGTAGCCGGTGAGAACGGAAATGACATAAAATTGAAAGAAATCAAGAACTGCAAACTTTCTTTTGCCTTCCGTCCATCCACTGTTCATATCCAGGTAAAGTGAAATATCCATAAAAATTATCATATGCTCTAATACTTACTTTGAAGGGACTGTATGATTCCGAACTAGTCTTTCTCCCCGTTGAAACCTCTGTATTAATGAGTGACTGCCAACGGTAAGCTGATCTGGACGTACAAATTACATTTGGACGTTCAAGCACATTCTTTCAGTTCAAAAATCTTTGCGTCTGCGCAGCAGTTACGTATTCATAATTCCAAAGAGCTTCGACTTCATGTCGGTGTACGTGCAGCTGTGATTATAGAATCCTGTACGGGCATTCTAATGGCTCCTTACAGGTGAGCGCTACGGCTTTGTAGTGTCCACTTGAGTTATTTGTTCTTTGATGATTTGTTTTTCTTTGCGTTTTATTTTATTATCACTATGTAGTGGGCGGAAGGGACATATCTTTAAGTATGAGAAGGCTTAGCCGGTCTAGAATTTTTAAATTATTACCTTCTCACAGCAGATCAGCAACTGTTGCTAATTATTACATCAGTTCTCCATTTCTGCCCTGATTTTCGCCATTAAAGCCTGGTGATTTCAAATCGCTTAGATAATTAGACTAATTACTCAGTCTCTCGGATTGCAGAGTCAAGCTGAACGAAGAGTTCATAGAAGCACCACCAGGTGAAGCATGGAAACATCCGAACGATTTTGACTGGCTTGCGGAAGGTCAAAGTCCTAATTGGGTCATTGCTCCGGAAGCTGACTGGGAAACTGCAATGCTCACTGTCCCTCAGTAACTTGTACATGCGATATTCATAAATATTTATCTTTTGAACTCATAATATTCAGCAACAAATTATTCAGAGCATTAAAACTTGTAAGATATTGAAAGGCAGTTTGACGGTAGCACCCATGAATATGTGAATTAGGAAGATATTTTTGTTATTAAAATATGTTCCCTGAGATAAAACTGCCTAGACAAGCTTCCAATCAAAATGACCCGCATATTTGTCATCCATCGCTGCGAATTCATTTGCACATTCATCGCGCTCATCCATGTTGCCCTTCTGAAAAAAAAAACAATTCCCATGCGGTTACGGTACTAGTCTTTCGCTCAATTCACCTCATGATATAGCATTGCCAGTTCCTGCAACACATATTTTTCAAATAAGAAGGCTCCTGCTTGCTGAGACTGAACTCGAGCTTTGTTGAGATTAATTAGGGATTCTTAAAAAAAATTTTAGGTTTTTGTAAGGTTTAGTGGGATTTCCCAAGTCTCACCTCTACTCTTCTTCTCTGCTGAATAAATCTGTGCTAATGCTATAGAAAAAAGCGCTCTCTCTAGTATCGAACAGTAACGAGTAATTGATGCTTCGCACTCGATCAAGCTTTTCAACGCTGCTTGATAATCTCCACTCATCAGCTAGAATTTCGTGGTCTTTTCAAAACTTCAAAAGTCAAAAATTGAAGGTTATGCACCTGAACAACGGCAATTCTTCTCTGAGCCATAGCGGCTACGTTCCGTTGCTCGATACTGTTGGCTTCTTCACAAACACCTTGTAGCATCTCGGTAGCCGCGCTCCATCGACATTCTGCGCTAAGGATCATTGCCAATTGTAAACGTAGCCTGAACAATCGAAAACTACCATGACCACAAAGCAAAATTCCCGAAAGGTGCAGTCGCAACACCTTAGATGTGTGAACATAGTTGCAGGCGTTTCATATTTTGAATATGAGGTTTCGAGAAGATTTCGTGCTGAAGTAAGCTCTCCACGAACAGCCGTAAGTAGGCTTTTTCTAAAAGTTTTTGTTAGAATTTCGTGCAGAAACATGTAAATTATTAGGATCTCACCGAAGTACGGCTTCCGCTTCGTCAAGAACTTCGATGTTTTCGAGCAAAGGAGCGCATTTCTCCCATTCACCGCGTAGCATGCAAGTATCAAAGCTCACTATATTATCGCATAGTTGCACATGACGCGCCGTCTAAAATTTATTTGAATTAGTCAGCGACTACTTGAAGAGTTTTCAAACAGCTCTTCTCAGAGGCTATGGCTCGAAAATTGGAGTTTGGTTGATAGGCTGGTTGTGTCAGGTTTGATAGTGGGTGATATTCCTCCACGATCGTAGCCCACTCACACTCCAATTCATGCGCTAAGTCTCGAAGACACGCTTTAGTAGTCCACCAGCCCCTCCCAGTTCCATCAAGTCATTGATGGGCTTTTAAAGCGCGTTTTCAGGACTTAGCGCCTGAATGGGAAAGTGGGGTTGGGGTTACGGTGTAATGGAGGTCTTCTCTCACCCAAAATTACCAAAATTGACAGGTTTGCGAATACATTTTGCGAACCATTGCCTTCAAGATAAATGTGATCAAGCAATACCTGCCAATTCAACTCAGGAGTAAAAATCGTCTTCAGTCGGTTCAGAATACTAGTCGCCCTATCCCATTCACCGTCCATTGCACATGCATAGACCATGTTTACCCCGGCTATCACCTCAAACCACATATGTTTTGTAGAAGAAAGAACATGCACGAAAATAGCTTACATGCGCTTCAGTCTCATGCCTAGGTGCAGATCCATCAGCATAGTTGGTTTCGACAAGAGAAGAAGCTAGAGATAGTGCAGATTTTGTCAATCCATGCCTGAGTCGTACACTACTCGCAGTCGCCCTGGCTGCATCGCTTATCAACCGGGCTCTACCGCCATCATCAGCACCTGACGAGCACCTCACCGCACGTTCCAGACCATCTTCTACGCTGTAAACAATGCGTGGAGTTAAGGTCAAATTTTAATAAAGACATACATAGTGGGAGGTTTGCAACGGCGAGTCGCTGTTATAGCCGCCATCAGGTGCACTAGAGCATTCATTTGATCAAATAAATGCTCAGACTCTATCGCATTCACAGCAGGATCACGATGATCCTCACCATCTAATCTATAAAGAGCACATTAGGAAATTGTGCATTTTCTTATAATTTCAAAAAGGAGAAAGATTGTAAGAAAGCGTCTGCAATATTTTTCGATATCAACATGTAAAAGTGGATACCTTGTTTCTGAATCCGAAGCTTGATTTATCATGCGTAGTAAACCTTCTGTCGTCAGGAGACTTTCCATAGATTTTCCTGCAAAATCTACTTGACACCACGCAGACAAGATTATTATGAATAAATGACTGACCTTCTGAATTTGTCTTCAAATCGGCTTCGCTTGCGGGCATAGCTTCTAAAGCGGCCAGTTCGACCATTGCCATGCGCAAACAGGCAACGTCGTGATTCTGTGCCTGTTGAACACATTCGCTAAGAAGTAAACGTGCAGCATGCCTGAGTTGAGGAGAGAGATTGTGGTGCCATAGCTGATTAGATGAGAATAATCACTTGTCACCAAATAATCTACAAAGTCTTGCTTGAAGAAGGCAAGAAAATCTCAGCGATCTCTGGTCGAGTGTGCCCATCCGACATGCGCGAGTAGTTGTGGGAATTACTACGTCACTCATCCTGTTAAAATTTGCACTATTTCATACTTTTGAAAAAATTACTGACAGCCTACCGAAACATGGAATAATCAAAGTAGAGTCGAAGAGATTCTAAGGCTCCGCTAAGATTCATGGCGCGAATATGATAGAGCATTTCAAGGAGATTCTATAACAGAGAAAAATACAAAACAAAATAACAATGAGTAATTCTCAACTAATTGAAACTTACCACTTCAACTACATCAGCATGGTTCTTTTTGATGATCTGACACCATTCCTTTATCTCACAGTCCGGTAGAGCAGCCGAGGGGCACACCTAGTGAAAAATTTTACAGAAGAAAGTTGCAAACCAAAAGTTTCGGAATTTCCTCATATTGCAGAATTCACAAAGGACATGAAATTAAAGGCAGTTCCTGGCAAAATTTTATATTCCAGTTTCTCCCTTTTCGGACTCGCCATGAGGAACCCATATCTGTGTTTTCCAGCGCATGAAAATTGCGAAAGAGCTTTCCTCAAAGCTTTCCAGGTCCACATTCAATGGAAAGTAGGTGTAAGTCGGCGGGGCCTGGAACAAGGGAGGCGGGGTGCGAAAGATTTCAGCGTATTTTCACTAAATGCGGATTTAGGAAGCTTCGGGCTTAATTTCGCCATCTTCATGCGCTAAAAGCCTAAATATGGGTTCCCCATGCTGAGAAGGCTCCGAATAGGTGGAAAACTGGACATCATAATTTTGCCGAGATCCTGCTTTAAAGATGACAAGAGTAGAAAAACAGCAGAGGAACGGAACCCACGATGAATACATAATAATGGCAATTTCAAAAAGGTATACGAACCTGCAGTAAGTGCATCTGATTCAAAATCCATTTTCGTGCTCGCCCGGATGATTCAATCTCAAACGGTACTACAGCTTTACTAGCTTGTGGAAGAGCGATGACATCTCTAAAACCGAGCAGCGCATACGGGCTATCTCAGCTTGACAGACAAACTCACGTCTCTGTTTCACACATCATTTGGGACTCATCCTGTGCATCGGTATCTTGTATCCACTTGGCAAACTCAGCATTTAGATCAAAAAGACGTTGAGTCGACTGTCTGCTCCATTCGGCAAACAACTCAAAGCAAAAACTTGATTGAATCATTAAACTAGAGTTGATATTACCTTTTTCAGCCAAATTCCTATATAAGACTTCCCACATACAAAATTAACCACATTAGGGCGAGTCTGAAGCATCACATCAATCTGAACCATAATATCATCGCCGGAGAGGTAGGAATTGATACTGCAATGATGAAAGCTGATAGTACAATAACAAACAGAATATTTTTTTTTCAAAGGCGGCAAGACTTCGCAAAAAGTTACACTTACGACTCCACGAAATCATCATAAACACCATGACGTATTGTCCGATCTATCCATCGCACAATTCTTTTCAAGTCCAAATAAGACATGTCACCATGTTCAATGATCCCATACAAGGCGGAGAGGATCCTGAAATAAAAGAAAAAAAGGTTCTTTGGAATACTCCGTTTCGTTCCTTTCCTTAGACGGAGTAAAGGAGCTCAGAACTCTCCCCGGAACTCCTCAGTAAGGAAGGAGAGTTCATGAGTCCTGTGTATATTTTGAAACAGTTTTTAGACAAAATTTTTTATTTAAAAATTGTTGTAAAATTTGACAACTTACGTTTTTTATATACTCCGTCTTATATTATAATATATATTATATAAAATAGTAATATATGAAATATTGTGTTGATTATATACTATATAGTAGAGTAGTGACCATATTGGTAGATGAAAGAATAAAATGAAACATGCTAGTGTTTTTGTAGTTGAATTTATTTATTATGACATAACTCATTTTGATGCACTACTTTACTAAATTGGTTGTTTATAGTAGATTTATATTTAAATAACTATATTGATTTAAAATATGTAATATTTATTAGGATTGAATGATTTTGTATAGTTATAGATTGGTGTATGATATGTATTAATTAACTATAATTTGTGTAGATTATGATATAAAATGTGTAATAATTTTTTAATTTTATCATAATTGTAAAATTTGTATTTATACAGTATAAAATTATTTTTATGTAAGCATTTGAAAATATTTGAGTAAATCATATTTTCATTGTATCCATTGCAAATAAGTAAATTTCGTAACTGTATTAGTTTTTTGATAAAATCGTCAAGATAAGTGCAAGTACGGGCAATTCTTAAAGTTTCTGTGTAAATAATTGCGTTTTTAATGTGTTTGGATACACCAGAACTAATGTGTATGAATCTTTTTCTGAAGACGATGGTTATTTAAAGAAAGCGAAAAAAGTGATGCAGCATATAAAGACTTCTCATTTCCCCCAACATGAGAGTACGTCTATTTTCCACAATGTTTACCTGGTACAGACACACCCGCCTTTTATCTTCGAGAGTCAGACCGAACTTATTTTTTCAAAAATTTCTTCTAAAAAATTTTAAACCGCAATTACGCCAAAGCGCGTAGCAAGCTATGAAGCACAACGGACGCGACGCTGACAGCGTCCGCAATGTGCCCAGTCTCTGCGCGCGATAAATCGTCTATAGCACTGCACTTTGCATGCGTGGAACCTTGATCATTAACTTACGAGCAGTGCTCAGAGGGCGTGAACGCTTGAACGTCTTGATGAAGTTCATCCAGTGACTGAATCAGAATGTAGATGGCCAGCTAGAACAAACAATTTGAGAAAAAAAAAGTTCCATAAAACCACTCTCACCTTGCACGGCGTAATGCGTTCACAAACCACGTTGCTATGAACATTTCCGAACAAACTATCGAGATTCACCCGGGTATTGAACGGTATAACAATACGATCTTGACGTTGATTCCATTCTGCATAAGCGCTGGTCATTCACTCAACCTTCAACAGGAAGAATTTCCGAGGAAATTTTCTGGACGTTGTCGATCGACTGCACGGACTGCTCGTAGATTGCGGAGCACGCGCGACGCGGCTAAAATGTCACAAAAGCGCGACTTGTACAACTGCGATTTGAAGTGGTACAAGCGTTTTGAGGGAGTTTTGAAGAATGAAAGTATGGTACATCCCCTAGAACTGTTCCCATATTAACCATCAACGTGGCTGTCTTTCGTTCATTTTAATACGTCAACTTCGAATAAGCGCCTTAACTCTGCTGGAGATAACGTGTCAAAACGATCGAAAGGCAGCCATGTTGATGGTTCATATGGGAACAATTCTGGGGATGCACGATATACACCATCATCTCTACCATGACTTGCCACAAACCATAGAAAACTACATCTAAAAATTTCTAAAACTTTAGTGCTTTATTTTCTGCGGGCCACCTCTTAAAATAAATTCCCATGTTCAGATAAAATTTGTTCATTTCGATTTCCCAATTTCGAATTACGGAAAACGACATCTTAGTCCGTAGTCAACATTCAGTTGACGTCTAATATTACGGTAGCCTAATATTCGTCCATGATTGAAATCTTTGTGTTTTTCAGTACTGAAAGGCCATCATGCCTTTCGCTTTGATCCTTTCATGATCTGCCATGATGCCTTTTGGTCTTTTACGGAATTTGGCAATTGTTCGAGCCCGAAACTTGAACCGCATCTCTGATTTCACTGTGCAACTTCTTTGATTTACAGATGCCTCGAGATGATCCTATCGCTGAAGAAGAACGGAGAGCTAGCACTGCCACAGATCTCATTCGAATGCGTTTAGAAAGATTGCAGCAGAATATAGTACGTATTATAAAATCTCTTACTTATTTTGTTTTTCCTTCAATTCTGCTTGCATTTTTTGCTTGATGTTGGTGGCTCTGTACAAGTCTGACATTTCTAAATCTTTTGGTGGCGTCGTTGGTACAGCTGCCTTTGAAAAATTTCAAAAATCACTTTTTGACGATTTTTTAGCCAGTTGAGCTTAATGGAGCGCTCAATCTCACTTATCTGGGCGGCGATTGGTTGATCGGCTTCGCCCAGTTTTTGGTCCCAGAAATGTTGGCAAAAATAGACAATTTTGACGTTAAAAATCTTTGCGTATTCAGGCTCAGCACATCAAATAGGTTGAGGCACAAGGAAACAGACCAAAGTCGAAATTTGTCTGTTAAAATTCTTTCAAAGAAGTACACAGTCATTGTATACACTATTTCTCGATCCTCCTTTTCGGCAAAACAGAAATTAGAACTGTTCTCTAGTATATTGATCTCGTACTTAATTTGTTTCAAGCTTTTGCCCCAGATTTTGTTGTGGGATTGAGTCAGGCGTGAGGGAAAGACTTCCGGTGTCGCCTCCGCTTGAAAAGCCTTTCTCTCATTCCAACGCATTGACGCATTTTTCTTTCGTTCTTTCAACATTTATTGATAGAATTCTGCATTGTGCACAAAGACGCACATCAAGCCAAATATGCTCTATGTGACTTTTTGTGTACTTGCACTAGTGTCCTCATCTTCGAGGTCGCAAAAATTTGTTGGGTCTTAGCAATTAGCTGAGCCCATTTAACTGCTGTGATTAAGACTCCATCTTCCCATTCTGGTGTTACTCCTGCTCGGATGTGCTGAAAACTGTTTCAGAACAAGCCAGCCCCAATACCTGCACGTCGTACCTCTGACTTAAAGGCCCCTAAACCTCCTCCGGAGTTTGTCAGGAACGTTGTTGGCTCATCTGCTGCTGCAGGAAGTGCCGAATACCACATTTATCGGTGAGTTTTGCCAAGAAACGTAAATTTCATAATTATAGACCTTTCAGAGGAAATCGATGACTCATACAATTTCAGCATCAATCGTAAGAAGGAACAAGATCGCCTGGACTACATAGCTCAAGTAGCGGAGCAGGAGGAACTTGATGAACAGTATAGGTGAGGGCAGTTTGTCGAAGCACGCGTAACATCGCTAAATTTTATGCATTCAGAATACATAAAGAAGAAATAGAACGTGCAGAAGCTGAGAGAACAGCAAAAAGAAGGGCAAAGCGATTGAGACGGAAGGAGCGTGCAAAAAAGAGAAAAAAGGTATGTATTTTTTATTTAACTTCTTCTCTCGTGTCTTTGCAATACAAGTTCAGGTAAAGAAAGAGGAGGAGAGCACAGAAGAAGAAGATTCAGACGACAGTGAAAATGAGAGCACCACTGAAAGCATTACGCAACAGAATGAAGCAGTTAGTGTTTAACATTTTCTATACGATTTCGGTGCCGTTTTTGGATTTTCACATGGTTGCCAGTTACAGTTTTATATTGTTAAATTTTGCCGCCCGTTTAATGAGTAAGTTCAATGTTCGATCAAGAAAAGTCATTGCTACCAAGCTCACATTTGGGACGGTATGAATCAATCCTCCGATGTCTAGATCCATGTTTATTCAACGGTGTGAATGTGCACCTGATCAGGCACAAGCGCCCGATCAAGTGCAGGCAGGGTGATACGACACATGCCCTGCGACATGAGCACCCTGTCTGACTGGTATCAAGTTTTCACGTAATTAGCACTTAGTACGAAAGATAGTTAGTCTTCAGATACACCAATAGAACTTAGCGTTGTCATTGCAGCGAAAACGGTTGTCATGTGCTTACTCCCACATCTCGATCCAAGAATGACTTTTTTGTTGATAACCAAATCATTCTTTGTTATTTTTGAAGATCATTCCTATTATGGTTCAGTTTTGTAAGTACTCATCAGTCAAGTAGCGGTGCCTTGCTCCTGTTCTCAAGGTCATATTTTTGTAGATAATGGCTCCATTTGTCTCTTTTTTTGCCCCAATTTCGTTAGGAAATTTATTAAGGGTGGGAATAGTCATGAATGTTTTTTATATCTGCTGATCTGTTTTATTCTGCATTATTTTTTATTTTCGCCTCGTAGCCAAAATGCCTCTGAATTTTTCCAGGACAAAGACGTCAAGGCTGAAGCTCCCGCGAGCGAAGAATCTGAGAACAAGGAACCGTCGAATGAAACAAATGTGAAAAATGAAGAAAATACCTCGTGATACAGATTCCCCTATATCAAGTAGCCTTTCTGATGCGCCGTTAAGTGCGCGAGACGATAAAGCTGGATCTCTGAAAAATGTGAAGAATATGAGTGGCGACTCGCTTCCACCTGTGTCTGAATGTGAATCGTCCTATGATCAAGTTAGTTCTAGCATAATTGAAGATCCTAGCATGGGACGGATCCATGCGTTTCTTAATGGGCCCCGATTATATCGAACTTTTGGCCAACCGGAGAGAACGCCGAACATTGTTGAGTCTATAGGGAATAATTCCATGTCTTTGGCAAGAGGTAAGCAAAAATTGATTTTTACCTAATTTTTAACAAAAACATTTTAGGGTTGCTGTATTTTTCTACTTCATTGGCTTTTTCGCCTATCATAGTCGTATTTTTGTATAGTCGAGGAGCATTGAATATTCACACCGGGGTAGTTCTGTTAAAATATGCTAGCTACTTAGCTATACTTGCATATGGAGGAAGGTACGATCAAGAAAGAGCTTTGTTTTGTCTTCTAGCAGTTTGTTTATCCATTCATTTATCGAGGCCTTCATTTCAGATTAATAGGTCGAACAATGGATAGTGAGTATAGACACTTTCTTAACCTATGGGTGAAAGCAAAAGTGTCTGGCAAATTAGAAGATAACCGTGTAAGTTCTTAGAGTTTTTCTTTTTTTATACGCTTCATGCAATAACAGACATAGTTTTGTAAACATGGTATGATACACTACTCAAAAGCACCGTCCACCCAAACCTGAGGTTGTTGAGATTTCAATGCGGTGAAGCAACGAGGCCCTTCACTAGATAGGCCCAATCCTGCTGCAAAAGATTATTTCAAAGCGAGAGAAACGAGTCAGAAAGTGGATACTTTTGGGGGTCGTCACGCCCATCAATGTGGAGTCTAAAAGTGATGTGACTGAAACTGAATTTCAGTATACCTAAGTGTTGAGAACGTATATCATAATGAAAGGCTGGTTCGCAATAAGTACTATTGGATCTAGTTTCAGCTCATTACCTTCAGACCAATGTTGATGGGCGTGGCGACCGCGGCAGCATCCACTCTGAAGCGATTTTCTTGCTCTGAAATACACTTTTTGCAGCAGAACTCGAGGGTCACTTATTTTTTGGCCTCGCTTTGAAACATTAAAACCTCGTCTATCTCTAACCTCCCATATTTGGGTGGATGGTGCCTCAACTTTTTAGCGATTATTTGCAATTGGGACGATGTACATGTTGTAAATTGTTTCTTTTTTCAACATGATGAGCTGTCTCTGCAATTCAAGGTTTAGCTAGTTTCTTCCAGATGTTGAAAAAGTACGACTTCGATCTCGAAGGAGTACATGCGGATTTTCACGCCGTAAGAAACGACAAGCTGTGGTTTCACCGTGGCGTATCCATAGAACGTAAGTGCTTTGACTAGTAGCATTCGTCGTCTTTGATGAGCTATAAAACGCTCAGGTAGCCCATTGCTGTGGTGTGCAGGATGGTACGCTGTGCATGCTTTTGGAAGGCATATGATGTATCCAGGTTCAGTAGCGCTTTTGAATTGGTTGCTCAGTGGTAGTTTGTTGTCAGCAAGGAATCTCATGGTTTCGGCTAAGGTAAGAGTTTACTCATTAATGGATTAAGGATTCGTGCTTTTTTTCTGATTTGACTATGTTTAGAATGGGCAGAGAGCGTGGCTTAGAAGTGTTGAAGGTGATCTGATTGATACGATGTTCATACGGGGAGAAGAAGACACCCCTGAAGAGAGGTTTGCAGCCCCGCATTCAACTCTGTGCTGTATTCTAGAATGTTGATTGCAGGCATCGAACTCTTGTAATTGGTTGTGAAGGTAATGCCGGCTACTATGAGATAGGTATAGCCAACACTCCATCTCAGTTAGGATATTCTGTAAGTTGCCATTCCATTATCTATAGTGTCCTTCCTGTTCCCTGTTTTCGCTTTTTTTTGCTCCTCATAAAAGGGAAATAGTTTCACATGTTTGATGTGCGTTCACGCCTTAATCAAAAAAAAAATACTCTGGAGGTGACAGCTGAGAAACCTGCGCGTAGCCGGCAAAAATATGCTTATTAGCGACAACTTTGTGAAAGCATCACGGCACCTTGTGGACTTGGTTGCGAACATGCGCTGGAAACAATGAATTTACGTGTAATTTTATTTTGTAGTATTTGATTTGTTGCTGCACATACTTTCAGTTAATTGCTAAATTGCTTATATACCAACGCATTGTATTCTTATGAACATTTCTAGGTCCTTGGTTGGAATCAGCCAGGTTTCGGCCAGAGCTCAGGCTTGCCCTTTCCAAAGAATGTGCTAGCTGCCGCTGACGCTGTGATGCAGGTGATTTACCCACCTTTGCCAATCTCATTGCGCTTAAATATGCGCATTTTTCAGTATGCTATGAACGTACTTGGCTTTCGAGAGGAAGACATTGTGTTGTTTGGATGGTCGATTGGCGGTTTTCCTGCAAGTTGGTTGGCGGCAAACTATCCAAGTAAGTTCTCAGCTTGCCTTCCTACCTTTAAGAATTCTCATGATTTACGTCACCCCAATGTTTCTTTTCAAGAGGTCAAAGGTGTCATTCTCGATGCTGTTTTTGATGACGTTCTTCCTCTGGCCCAGGCTCGAATGCCAAAGGTATTTCTTCATAAATGGTGTAAACGTAGTTTCTCAGTTAATGTCCATTCAGTTACTTTCCAACGTGGTTGAAGTTGCTGTGAGGACACATTTTGATTTGGATATACAGGCTATAGTAAGTTTAATCAGTGTGAAATCCAAAAATTAGTGGTAAAGAATTATTTTTAGCTCGCTCACTATAAAGGTCCAGTCAAGCTTATTCGTCGTTTGCAAGAAGAAATCTTAGTCACCGATGAGACCGGTACAGAAGCGGATCGTCGCGCTAGTAATAGGTTCGTCCGACTGGCGAATTCACAGTTGTGAAGCCTTCTAATATTCCATTTCAGAGCGAATTTTCTTCTGAAGAAACTTTTGAAGCAACGACATCCGTCATTGATAGATGGTTTAGAGTCTCAGGTTTGTTCACTTTCAGAGGTCTTTGCTGTTTTGATTTATCGATTGTAGTCTATGTAGGGATGAAGGGGACTTGAAGTATATGTATGACAATTTTTTTGAAACCTGAAGGGCGCAAGCATGAACTCAACTTGTTTCTTCTTCACTCTTTGCAAATAAATTTTCTTGACATTCAATGGAAGCAGATCACATTATGCCATTACGTCATTACGCAGATCACATTATGGAAGCAGATCTCATTATAGGAAAGTAGATCTGTCGCACAATATAGAGTCTTTGCGTGTCGAGGTTGGGCGGCAAAAACTGCGCTCAAACGAATATCTATGCCTGAAATGCAGGCATCTTGCACAAGTGCCGGCATTGAAGGCATAGCTGTTTGTTCACGTGCAAATTTTGTCGCCCAATTCAGTACTAGCCTGATTTTTTTTAGGTAGACCGATGGTTGGCGATGCCGCCACACCAGCGAGCGATGGCAGGGCATGCGTCAAATGACTCAGAAATAGCTACGCGACGTGCTAGGCTGTATGCGGCCTGCGATCACTACCTCACTGATTTTGATGCCACTCATGTGCAGCCACTGGATCCGCTGTAAGTTCTGCATAAGCTCTCACTTATACCCTAATTTCAAGTGTACAAGGCGCAGGGGATTTTTTTTTCAAAAATCGACCGGCCCAAATACGCCAAAGAACTTCGCAACCAAAGGACCCTATGCCTTGCTGTATATTGCCTAAGAGAATCGTATGGCATAAGGATCGCTTTACGAAATAATTTGAAGCGGCTGAGGGGCTTAGTCGAAAAATCGAAAAAGGTGCGTCATGTACGCGTGAAATTAGAGTAATTGTTTGCAGTATGTCTACCAACTTTGAGTAATCGACTAAAATCCGTTTTTTCTTGAAAGTTCATTTTTCAGTTTTTCTAAATTTTTTCGTTTTTTTAGTACTTGGTAAACTTTAGGTACTTCAACATTCCCAAACCCTTCCGTGATCTCAAGTAAACTCCACTCGTGCAGGATAAACATAATTTCTTAAATGACTTTTGTACTTAAAGCTTTATAAGAGAATGCTAACTTAGTAGTCGTCAGTCTAATAACTATATAGTCGTTCTTGTGGTAACTCAGAGCAGCCATAGCTTTCTGTGATTAATTATTGTAAATTGGATGAACTTTAGATTTATCATGCAGGCTGTTTGTAAATCTGTAGTAGGTGATTCGACAAATGTGCACTTGTATTCGAAATGTAACAGCAGAATAAATAATTTTCGCTAAATTTTATGGTCGTTTACTAGTTGTACTGGTCGTTTCAGTCAGTTGTGTGGATATATGAATGGAGTGGCGTCTCGAGAGAAACTCTCGTAGGCACGCGCCATACTTGTTCCTCTTGATTCACATCATCCATATCACTATTGGTCAAGTTAGTGAAGTGACCAATTGCGAAGTGGATCAAGCGAATCGAGTGTACGTCCGCTTCGCTATTGATCAGTTTACTGATTTGATCAATAGCGGAGTGGATCAAGTTAATCAAGCGGAACAAGCATGGTGCATGCCATAGGCACCATAAACGTGGCTGCCTTTCGGTCGTTTTAACGTGTCAACTTCGAATAAGCGCCTTAAAATTGCTGGAGTTAATGTGTTAAGACGGTAGAAGGCAGCCAGTTGATGGTACTTATGGGAACCCTCTGAAGCACAAATCATATCTATGTCTATCATGAGGTTGACGAGTGGTGTCTTCGGACCTAGGTTCGATCCCCGCTCTTTGGGCCAACTAAGCTCTGTACCCTCCGGGCCGCTAAATTGGTACCTGAGTAATTAAGGAGGATAAAAGTACTGGCTTGGTAATCGGCTGACCCTCGGAAGCACTGTATTAGGCTCGCACGCACTCAGTAGCCTCTTCGACTTGCCCGCAAAGGATACCGAAGGCGCCGAATCCTTTGAAGGCAGTGTCTCACCAAAGTTGAGGTCGCGCGGATTTTCACATATTCTACTATAGGGACCGCTAAATAGGCCATTGCAACAAGTCCCACACAATTTGACCCCTTCCACGCTGAGAAAAATTCGCTCAAAGTGGTACGCGGAGAGCGACTTGGTACGCGCGGACGACTCCTTCCGTCTCTCCCCCCCCCCCCCCTTACGCGTTTGAACATGTCCCTCCACTTGGCATCCTCTGTTGCTGCCACTGTGGCTGAGGCTGAAGTTGGAAGGTACAACTCGTCCTCGTTGCTTCCGCGGGGCCTCCAAAAAATGGGGTTTTTGGGAACTTCGTGCGTTAAGCCCATATAGTGCTAGACAGGGTTCAACAGGCTTGCAAAATGCAAAAATCTCGGCAACTAAATTTTGGTGAGACACTGCCTTTAACCTTTTATTTGTCTATCATAGGACTAACAGACTTCAAACCGCTTGACCACATTGTCTAAACATGAATGAACTTGTTCTTCTCTGGTTCCAAGTAGTGATAAGTGACAAGATAGATTACGAGTATAGATCTGTTAAACACGCGATCAGGCTAGCTTGAACAATGCAAAGCGCTTTCAAGTCTGTTATTCTTGGAATGAATGAAAGTCATCTTTGCTCAATCTTTCTGTTCTGTGAAACCCGCGAACTATGTCACATTCGAAAGAGGTTTTCTCGTTGACATTTTCAAAAATAACGGCAGTGTTTTTCTTGCCCTTGTCACAGTTCATGCTCGCAGCTGTCACTCTTCGCCAATTTATCATGTGCTGCACACACTGTGGTGTAAATGTGTAAAATGTTATGCACTATGTTATGGCAGGTGTAGCTACACTATCTGTTTCTAAGTGCTGAGAGAAGAGAGCAACATCAGTGACTAGAAAGTTTGCACGAATTTGGAAGGACGTCATTTTTTTTGAGCAAAGCTTTGCGTGCACCATTTTTTCTCAAACTTAACGAGGGCTCGTAAAAGCTTCAGTGGCCACTGGCCAGGCAGCAAAATACTTGGCTTATCTAAAGGCGTGAGAAATTGTTAAATTTGAAAAAAAAAGGTGATTTACTTACGCAAACTCAGAAAATCTACAAAGAAAAACACCACAAGGACATTGCCATTAGAAAAATGAAGACTAAAAATGCATTCAAGGAAACAGTAGAAAAATGATTGAGGGTGGGTGAATGATAAGTGGTTGTAAAGGCCGTCAAGGTTGCATTTGAGCGCCATTTTTTGCTAAATGTTTTTAGTTTGGTGTCGAAGCAAAAGAAGAAGGAGCTATTTTCCGCTCAGAAATAGATCGTCCATGGAAGAGGTTATATAAAAAATTAGTAATCTCAAATGATTTAGAAGAGGGATAGGTATAGGCGACTCATAGCGCGTTGAGACAGGGCATCGGCACTTATTCTCACACCCTTTGCCGTCTGCACCCTCCTCCAAACACGAACTATCTCAATGGGACGCGACGCGAATGCGTCTGGTACCTGCGTGCGATGGCTTATCTACAAATGCATGTTCAAGCCATTTACTATTAAAAAGTGCTCCATTTCTCATTTCACCTCAATAACACAGATTTATGTACCGCGAAAATCATTGCACTCAACATTATTGAAAATTTGTCGTGAAGCTCGCCAAAGCGGTGAATCGGTTCAAAATCTTACATGACCATACTGTATGGTATCACAGTAAAATGTTTTACTACCATATTCAGATAAATCACTATTCACTTGTCGATAAAATAGGCCGTACCGCCTTGCCAGCTCTTACACTGCTTTAATTCAATGAATTAGCACGGAGGGTAAAAATGAGAGAAATAAATCTGGCTAAGTGGTACTACTAGCGAGACCCGCATCGTCGAATTAGATGAGTGCTATTGTGAGTGAAAAAAGCTCTTACAATCAAAACGGCCATCGCCCGCCCTTGACGCTTTTCGTCGAAAAGACATTATATAGATAGGTACTGTTATTTGGCTCGAGATATAGGGTGAGAGGGAAAATCGTCCTCTTTCTACCGATGCTTAATGCGAAATTTAATAGGCACAACTGCGGCTATAAGCTGACGAAAAAAAATCACTCAAATTTTTCTGCTGTTAACCATTAAAATTCCAAGAGGTCCAATAAAATTTAATTTTATCTTCGGTCATAATTCTGTAAATTTTCTTCAACTTTCGAATTCATGTTTGCCGTTCTTGGCAAAAAGTTATGACTTTTGCGTTTTCTCTGGCTTTTTATACCATTTCAATAAAATTTTTTAGTGCTCAAGCGTTGAGCTTTTCTACATTATAAAATATTTACTTTCGAACTAAATCAATCTTTTTTAGCATTCTCAAGAAAAATTTGCTAAACGAATTCTTTCCTATTCGGGTGCAAGCCTTATGGGACAGCCTAATATTTGGCCCAATTCAGTTCTTAGAAGTTTCGAGAAAAGTCCGGAGATCTTATATTACGTCTAATTAGTAGAGTGAAAAGGGCTAGAATAGTAGCTCCTAATTACATAGGTTAATTTCACCCACTTCTATGAAATTGTCCAAACTCTATTCTATCGGGTTGACGGATTTTTTTTTGTTACACTTTTTATTTGAATTGTTAAATTTCTTAGAGACTTTCGAAAGGTCTGCAAAAAAGTTCAAAATAACATTTTCAAGCTTTCTATAATCATTTTACATGGTGCATATAAAAATAGAAAATTTTTTTGTGCTGTTTTTTCCAGCCCTCGTTTTTGAAACGAGGCATGGATCTTGCTATGTTCTAAGTGTAATTTGGGGTTCAGCTTCTGGACTCAGAAAAAATAGAAAGCTGGAACAGAAATTATCCGACAATACAATGGGTTTCTGACAGAGTGGGAAAAGACCAGATTGCCTATAATTCGATAATGCTTTTTTCTCTATTCAAGGCGACAGGCGTCTTCGCTACAGCCGAAAAAGGTCAAAATTTTTCGAGTTCATTCGGAACATCAGACACCAAAACAGCAGAAGGTCTAGGCTGATGCATGCTTTGGTCGAGAGCTGTTCACCGTGTTCGGAAGCGATGTGTTTCCGAAAAGCCTTGCTTCGATCTTCGTTTCTCCGTGCAGTTCTCTTTGATGCGACCCGGTCTCAGAGTCAGTTGCTCAGCAGACCGCGATGCGATGCACGCGGTTATATCTTTTCGCTCTACTATTTCTAATTATTGCTGCTGTCAGGTAAGTCTTACTGATTCTGTTGTTATTTGTTGCTCCTACGCGTAATTGCAAACCTTGGGGACCAGTTCTCGCATCAGAACTACATCATCGCGGGATTTGCTAAACTCCATCTTTTTGCTACACCTCCAATGATCTCATTATCCTACTTATGCTTCCTTCCCTGCTTATGCCCGGTTTATTTTATGCTTAACGAAACACAGCCGGGACCAGTTCTCGCATCAAAGCTGCATCACTACGGGGTTTGCTACTATCTCTAACGTTTCGCTAAACTTCAAAATTTCTCTATTTTCCTATGATTCCTCCTCTTCTTATGCTTCGATTTACTTTTCTTCTCTTCTTCTTCTTCTTTCATCCTTTTCTCCCCATTTTTCTGCACTCTGTTTGTAATCAACCAGCTGTTGGCTTGAAATGAGCGCGCTCGTTGTCTCAAATTCGCCTCTCGCAACACGGCAAAAATCGCAAAATGTGTAAATTTACTCGTGATAGCATCTAAATGATCCTAACATTACGTTAATGGTGCCTTTTTTTTTTGCTTGATGTATTTTTTGACGGAAGAGATGCAAAGGCTTATTGCCGATACGGCACATTATAAAAGCGACACGTGGAGACGCTTAGTGGTTATTGCTTACAGATGCAACATCGAAAAAAATGCATAGAGAGTAAAGTAAATGCAGTTTGGTAGCGGATTTGAAGGAAAAAATAAGGGGACAGCTGGTAAGTAAGATGTGTCTGGAATGCTGCAAAAAGTTGGCTAGTTTAAGGACAAGCATAAAATTTTACAAGCATAAAATTCTCAAGCGAAGACTTTCAAACACCAACCACCTACCAGCCCCCTCCTCAACTTCATTCAACCTCTCTTCAAAAAATCTGACTTTATCTAAAACACACATATCCACATTGGAAGAGGTGGACTAAAAGATTGATGGCTAGCGTTTTCAGCCCATGGTCTATAAAACAAGCATTGTAAGCATCAGACTTCCTGGTTGATATGTTTCCCCACCTCAGTCAACTTTTTCTAAATGCTGTCTTGTCCCCTCAGCAATGCCGAATATGATTTGCTAATACAATGGTGTTGTCAGCTTCTAAGTTGAAAAAAGGCAATCTATCCACCAGTGGCAGTTCCCATATTGCTCGAGAAAATGATCTATGAGTCACGAAATTTACTTTGGCAAGCGAATTTTTCACTTGGTAAAATCGTTTCAAGAAGTTCTGCGGAAAGATTTTTCATGGACACAACTGTCCTTACGCCCCCTTTTTTGATCTGTCGAAGGCCCAGAACATTTGGAAAGAATGTCAATAATCTTTTGACAGTTATTAACGCTTTGCGTAAAACTACTTGGCATGCTTTCGAAATGCTGGATTAAGAATGAAAAAAAGTGGCCTAGGGGTTTTCCACCTCCTGAGAACTTTTTGAACAGCTAATCCTTTATTTGCACAATTTTTCAATTCATGTAGATCACTTACATAGATTACTCATTTTCGATCCGTCATTATCAGATATTGCAAGCGATTTTCAGAAATCTCGTGTCGAAGTCACCATCAACCGGCCTTGAAATGTCTATCGTGCAAAGTCTATCACACATATATGATTCGATGATTTTTTTCCTCTCAACTAGCTGTCGTGAAAAGGGAGAGCGATATGGTTTACAAGAGGGTTTTGATCCCAATTTTTTGAAATCAGGACTTATTAAATTATTGATATCGTGAAATTTTGCCACTGACTGTGTCTAAATCAGGCCGCAGATATCTTGGAAATATCTGTAATCATTCTCACATCAATGTCTGAGACAAAGAAAAGACATGCACAAGAAAGATTTTTTTATTTCTGCATTTTTTGCAAAACGCAATTTGGCTACACTTGAAACTTCAAAAGTTTATAAGTAAGCCTAGGTCACAGTTTGCAGCAACTTAATACTTTGTGAAACCTTATCCTGGACATTTTGCGTGTTTCATACTCTAGCCAACTGACATAGAATGCAATTCTACACCCTCTAGCAATCTGTTTTGTAAAGTATTTCAGTAATTCTGCACATTGTCTTGCAGAGTGAAGTAGCTGCTACTTTAACTTAGAAAGTGTTTTTAAGCGCCCAGTAGAGAGTTGTATGAGTTTCCGGGCTGTCTTAAGATATGATACACAATCCTTCAAGTGTAATTCGGGAGTGTTTCTAAAAAATTTCTCGCGTTTGTTAGAAGTGCTCATGCAAAACGGAGTCAGGTGTAAACGTAAGATCCATGACTTTTTAACTGTATGATTGATGGACGCAAAGTTATCCCTTATAAAACACCGAGGAACAGTTGGAAGGTATCAAGATGAAGTATTATTCATGACGCTACTTGGTACTTGTCCATGATTCCACCGAATTTTTTCATCCGTGAGAGTGGGAAATCCTATCAGACATTAATTTTGTCAGCTCAAAAGGTGCGTAAAAATTAGTCTCAAATATATGGGAGATTGTCGAATTTTTAGAAAGCAATGCGGCGAGTTCTAGAAAATAATTGTTTTTTTGAGCTATTTAATTTTTGTCGTTGATCTACTATAATCAACGACATGAAGGAATCACAGACATATTAGCCCTCTTTTGGGGCAAATCAGTTGGACTTCCGATTTTAAACAAGTAAACAAAACATGTATAATATTGTAGAGTTACCCATTTTTGGAAACTATAACATCATGCGCAATATTCCACTCCGTTATTTACCATAATTGATTTCCGTAATTATATGCTTCAGCCATTTATGCGAAATTTTTACATATGCAGTGAATGGATCAAAAGAATTGTGAATTATATAGCATTTCCCAATATTTGGGTAATTTTCGCAGTAATTTAATTCCTAATTTGGTCCTTTTTGTGATTCTTATTTCACTTCTATGAAATTAACAACCGCGTTTTTCTTTAACTCTTTTTTCTATCGTACACTCTACTCTGCAATTAGCAGTAACCTTTTCATGTCTTTTCGCGTTGGAAATGACTTTTATTTTTGGATTCTTTTTTGAGCAATTTTTCATCTCTTCAGCCATAAATTGAAAGCCTAAAGTCATTTGTTCCAGCCTTTTACCTCACTCTTTGCTTCTGCAAAAACCCAGATAAAAAATGACTTTTCACAGTAATTTATTCCTAGTTTAGCATTGAATCAACTGGGTACTTGAGGTGTTGCAAAAAAGTTTTTATAAATTACTTTTGACAGTAAGTAGAAATTCCATTAAATACTTGGAAAATGGGAAATAAGGGCTGCCATCATTGCCCATTGCTTCCTGTTCGCGATACCACACGCGGACTTTCGGTTTTGTGATTGTTTTATCAAAATGAAGACAAAAATTACCAGTATTGCTAAAAATATAAAGTGGTGGCGGGGAGACATTGTAGTGTCCTAGCTCAAAAACAACATTCTACAAATCGCTTTCAGAAGTTTACCTTAGAATAAGTTGTATTCTATAACTACCCGAGAATAAGATGTATCTTATGATCTATAAGTTACGAACTTGCTGGAATAAAAGAAATCATCGCTTTAGTACTTTTCAACCTAAAAAATATTTTTTGGAACGTTTTTATCCCGAAAAGAGGCGTGAAGGAATGGCTGCACATCAGTGGCTGTTCAAGAATTCCCGTCCGGGGTGGTAAAAACTTTCTTCAAATGAGCACTCCGGAAAAATTTGGAATACTTCACAAAATTTTTGCTGGCCCACAGTCCCTAAAATCTAGAAAAAGGGGCGTGTCGGCAGCCCCCAATAAAAATTTTTTACAATTTGAATTAATTTGAATATTTAAAATTTTTTTAAAAAATTATTACAATTTTTACAAAAACGGAAAAGTCACCTGCACATTTTCATAACCATTGTAAGTAAATTCCATAAGAATTGCTGCCCTCCCCCCTCCCTCCCCACTTTCCCCTATACATCATTTATTTGGTGGCCAACTTAAAGTTTTGGTTAAAAACTTTGGTGAAGCTTTAGCATTCTCCACACATGTGCAGAACACCCTTGACCCGGTTGTGTAGTTCTCAGACAGCACTAGAATCAAAGCTGTGACCGCGTTGAGACTAATGACTCCATGGGAAGGTGTGCACTGGATCTATACGATCACACAACGGTTTATGGCTGTGCGCTGTGTAGGTGCGAACAATTGATGTCCGCCGTTGTCGGCGCTGATATTAATGATGGGCAGGTGCCGAACGTTTTTCGGGCATGTTAATGATCTGCTTAGTCGAGCGGCTGAACGCTGTTTTGAAAAGTGTGGCGAGGAAAAACCGTTCTTGAGCTCATTAGGAAAGTGGCGGCATGAGCGTCAGTAAGTCAAAGCTCAGTAGAAGCTCAGTAGAAGATCACGGGGAACATCACAAATCGGCGCATTCGATTTTGTATTTTACCAAAAAAGAAATCTCTTTCTCCAAATAGTAATTGTTGTGTCCTCCACTTCGGACACTCTTCGTCGTCTTCGCGTCTGTCAGACGGCACAGGAGCAGAAAGAAATATTTATTAGACAAAATAAAACCGTAAAAGAGAGGCGAATGAGTGAACACTGAACTGACTAAGGGTATGAGTGAGCGCCTTTCATAGCGCTCACTTCCCGCGCACTCTGAGGTTGCGATCGACTACACGAGGCAGATCACTGTGAGGAACAACTGATCATTCACAATCACTAACAAATCATCTTTCTTTTTGCAGTTTAATAGTTGAAGATAGCTGCTCTGTGTATTGAGTTCAAACTTCCCCCTGATAGCACTTCTTATTCCCAAAAAACCCGACTTTCTAAAAATCTTGGCATGTTGAGTAATTGCCTGTTTAGATTATTTAGCCACGATCAAAGTTGGTGACTATCTATTAGGCTAACATTTCGGCAATATCTCCTTCTTCGAAGAGATAGGTGGAAACAATTACAACTTACCCTTCAAACATATCCCCAGTCCTACAAGCGAAATTCTAAGCTTTCTTTCGAACCGCAAACGGCTACCACATGCATTACTCGCCATTTTCGATCGCTGGTAAAGCTGTAGTGGGCGAGCGAGCGTTTACTGATTGCTTGAGTGAGGATTTAACCTGTATTGTTTCATTAATTCAACTTCTTGTTCGTGTTTTTATGTCAATTCGTTTTTCTCTTCCTTTCCGAATGTAGCAGAATTCCTCTTGAATAGCAATACCGTCCATTGCTGTTTCTAAATCAATCTCCTTGCGCATTACAGAGTGAATTTGCTTTCAATACTTGGTCTGCGGTTCAGATACATTTTTTCAAATTAAACTGGGAAAGACAGTATTTGTCATATCGAGGGAACTTCGAGGATAAAAATTCCAGTGCTATTGTATACTAGCTTGCTGATTTTAGATCACTCAAATGGTCCGTCCTCATTCGTTGTGCGCGCCCAACTTTGACCATTTGTCTTCTCGTTAGTTGCTTGAGCCTAGTCCAAAATTGGTACAGAACTTTATCGCAGAGAACAGAATACAAACTAACGTTTCGGCGAACTCGCCTTCTTCAAAGTCTAAAAAGTCGAAGGCACTTAAGTAAACTATCCGATCAAACACCTCGTCGACTACAGAAAGGCCCAACCCTCTAAGAAAAACAACAGCCTCAACCAGAACCAAGATTAAGCTAGTGCTCACCTTAAAGGCAGCGTCCAGGCAAGCTGGACCTGTTGTGATTTTACTTGGAAAGTAAGTTTGGAGCCCCAACTAGCCACTGCCCAACCGGCAATTCAGGTAGTGCTCTAACGGCTAGATATTCCCTTCAAAAACTGGACCCCAGGAACGTACTTCGCATGGATTCATGGCGCAACTTGTGGATCCTCGCGCGAAATTGATGGTTTGCGCCATGAATCCATGCGAATACGACCCCGGGGTCCAGTTCCGAAGGAAATATCTCAGTCGTTAGAGTACTACCTGAGCTGCCGGTTGGGCAGTGGCTAAGCTAGAGCTAGCCAAAAAATTACCTTCTACGTAAAATCCCCATAGGTCCAAATTTGCCTGGACGCTGCCTAACAGATGATAATTTGGTGGGTGCAGACCACTCTGAAGAAGGCGAGTTCGCCGAAATGTTAGTCTGTATTCTGTTCTGTGCGATGAAGTTCTGTACCAATTTTGGACTACGCTCAAGCAACTAACGAGAGGATTACAACTATGCCAAGATTTATGGATAGTCGAACATGGATTCTGACGAACGTTTCGAAGTTCTTGGAATCCAACCCGACGTTCTTCTTGCTCATCTATCGTCTTCTCTTCTCATTATATGGCCGGTCTCTCACAAACATCCGAATAGTGTCCATGCTCCTCTCTGTCCTTTGCTAAGTTTATGTTGCCGTACTTGTTTAGCCGTAAAAATCTGAAACAAAAGAAGTGAAGAGATCAGAGAAGGTATATTTTGGGACACCTGTCACGTCTTACTATTGTCTCGGTGCTAATATTTTAAGATAAGATACTTTGTTAGACCATCTTGGTTTTTTTGTCACACAAATCAAATTGGGACGGCATAATCATAGGGGCCGTCTGCGCGGGACGGAGAGTATGCAAGGTATGTATGTACGTTACTCCTCTTCCCTCGTGCACTCTCGCCGCTTGTTTTCTCTGCGCCTCTTCCAGTCATAAACTATCTTCAATGGACCAACAGCGTTGTTCTCCGAGCGCAGCGCGGGTGGCTCATAGGCGGATACAAAAGGAGTTGTTTGAGTGCTATCAAAAGTTACCTCCATAAATCTTAGATTCATTTGAGGTGCCGATATCTAGAACCTGTGTGCCAGGGTTCACGACCTGGCGATTGCGATCCGGAACTATGTGGCGGTTCATGTGAAGCACGATACATAAGGTACATGAAGCCTCAAATAGCGAATTGTCTTCCGAAGTTGCATTTTCAGATTTTTCGACCGAAATACGCGACTAGATCGAACAGCAAAAAGCTGCCAATGTGTGCAGGTAGTTGAGCCAAGTTTTTTTTTCCAAAGTTTATGCGCACTATTAGACCTTATCATCCCAAAGTGTAAAACGGTGCAAAGTCCATTAAACTCCTTCGGAATCTTTCGAGGAATTTTTATGGGTGCAGATAGCTTCGTCAATTTTGAGCGCAGAATGGGGCAATTCGGCATTATGGTGCGGCTTGATGCAACAAACATGACCAGTCCAGCAAAAAATGGTCTGTGCTTCCATACCATCTAGCCCCCCCCCTCCCTTCCCCAAATTTCTGATAATTACGAAGTATGCATCTGCGCAAATAATTAATTGCGAATAACTGAAATATTTCCAATGATAATCTCTTTAACGTTATTAGATGGATGCAAAATTAATGCACGTTCTGTAGCGGCAGAAAAGATATTGAAATATTTGAAATACATCATTCGATAGAGCAAAGTAGTCTTTACAAGATAGTATTCAACAATCGCAAAAAAATCAATATACGTGAAATTTGAGAAAAAATCGAGAAGATTCAAAGACCTAATCAGATTTCCGTTTAAAAAATCCTACGGTCCTCACTTAGTCAAGCGCACACTATACACATCATAAATATCATCATACGTACACTAGCCGTATATTTTTCGTGGTTAATTTAGAAATGAAAATAGGCAGGAGAAACTGTCATCTTTTTAGGATTCTATGTTGAATTTAGTATTTCTCAACAACCAAACTCTTTTGACAACCAAGTAAGCAGTTTTAAAATCTATTGTTATATTTCCAAAGATCTGTAGTATGAAATTATTTCAATTGCGCAAATCAGCATTGCTTTTCATAGACCATTACAGTCATTCCGTCCTTCAGCCTTGGCAGATATACAGCTGCGTACATATGCATTGCTGATGCGACAAGTAAATTTTCGTGGGCAAATTGGGGGTTTTCAGGAGTTTTTGGACAGAAACTAGCAACTTCCAAGCTCCGTTTTCATGCTTGGCATATTTCGTAAGTTCAAATTTCTTTTGCGCCGTACAGGTTTGAGAAGTGATTTCAGTTTCTTCCAATGACTGCCATACGTTTAAACGCCTTTCGTCTTCCTCAGAAGCCTGAATGGTTCTAAGTGTCATGCTAATTCCAGACCAGATCACTAAGCGTTCCCTCCAACTCTACTAGTTTTCGACCTTCTCACAATCTCGCTACCAAACACCACCGCTATTCGACTAGTCTGCACTGGAAATAGGCAGTCGCGGCAGACCAGTGAATCATACTGTAGATACACCTGGATGAGCTACAGTTGTAGACCACATAACGATGAGGCCCTTAGGGCCGCATGCATTAACATCCCCGCCGGGGAGGGTTCACAGCTTTAAAAAAGCTTCATGTTGAGGCTCCAGATATGTGGATTTCGCGCTGTCTACCTATCCGTAAGTATTCCCACCGACCTTTACCATAATGAACAGAAGCGAAAAGCTGTACAAGCCGCATTTTCCAGCCTTTTATATGATCCTCAAATGATCCCCAGCGGCTGACCGTCTTCTCTTTGAAGCCATTTTTCTTTCTTCGATTTCAACGAAAACATTCCAGAGTTGTACCGATTATCTGATCCAACAGTGCTAAGCATGCTGCTGATAAGAACAAATGAGTCTTTGAAACATCGAAATTTTTGATAAACCCCAACTTCCGACCTATGGTTCGTCGAAAATTTTATAAGTCCGAAACATCATAAGCAACACAACTTTGGAATGTTTTCATTGACTTTGAAAAAAGAAAAATGACGTGGAAGAAATGACGGTCGGCCGCCGGGGATCATCAGGGGATCGTACAAACGGTGGAAGATGCGGCTTGTACAGCTTCTTGTTCTCGTTCAATATATTCATAGTGAAGGATGGTGGAAATACTTACTGATAGGTAGACAGCATGAAATATGAAGTTTTCTTTTAAGCTGCAATCCCCTCCCCGGCGAGGATGTTAATGCATGCGGCCCTTCCTACTACCCTTCACTGTGAACATGTTGAACAGGAGCGAGAAGCTGTACGAACCGCATTTTCCAGCTTTTGCATGATCCCTGATGATCCCCGGCGCTTTTCTTTAAAGTCATTTTTCTTTCTCCGAAGTTAACGAAAACCTTCCAAAGTTGTACTGAACATCTAACACAACAGTGCTAAGCATGTTGCTGATGAGAACAAATGGTTTTTGAAAAGTCGAATTTTTCGGTAAACCTCAAATTTCGACCTGTAGATCATCGAAAATGTCATGACTTCAAAACATCATTTGTTCTTATCAGCAACATGCTTAGCACTGTCGGGTTATATAATCTGCACAACTTTGGAGGTTTTTCGTTAACATCGGAAAAAGAAAAATGACTTTGAAGAAAAGCGCCGGGGATCATCAGGGATCATACAAAAGCTGGAAAATGCGGTTCGTACAGCTTCTCGCTCCTCTTCAACATGTTCATAGTGAAGGGTAGTAGGAATACTTACGGATAGGTAAACAACGTGAAATCCAGGTATTTGGAGTTTCGAAATATAAAGCTTTCTTTTAAGCTGCGATCCCCTCCCCTCGGGGATGTTAGTGCATGCGGCCCTTAGAATCATTCTGGTTTCTGAGGAAGACAAAAGGCGTTGAAACGTAAGGCCATGATTGGAAGAAATAGAGACCACTTCTCAAACCTGCACGAAGCAGATTTGAACTTGATCTTATTTTTAGATTTCTCTTCTTCTTGTAAGGCTTGCTTTGTTCTGTTGAGTGATATATTTCATACATTTTACCTTCTCTGCTGTTTTAGGTTGAGTAACATGCATTACTTTTGCATCAACCTAATATATAGTAATGTCAATTGTTGTAGGAAAGAATTTGCTCCATTATTGGTATGCATGCTCATGCTGGATGTCGAAGTTATTCCTCTCTATCGTCTGCTGGTCAGCGACTAATTCGCCTTTGGAGTATCGATGAGAAAGATCGACGGTTTCGTTTCAGCAATGACATCAGAACGAGGTTTTCCGACAAAGAACGGTATTTTTTTGAATAAATAAATCGCTCCAAACTGAGAAGAATTTGATGTTGCAGGCATCATCAACTGATGAATGGCAACAGTCGTTTTTGCTGTCGTTCAATCACTCCAAAAAGGACGAGATCTCTCCGGCTGCAATCTGGTGCCAGTGTTGGCAGAAGTTCCAGCGTGATTGTTACATTGTTGGCAGCCTATGTCATATTTCGGTAGCAAATATGAGATTTCTGTGAGTATAAAGGTAAGGCTAAACTAGTTTAAGCTGGGGTTTCAAAGATCCTAAGTACTGGATCGGCTTACAAGTCCGCACCAAACCTCACAGAGTAATAATAGCATAGTCTATGTCCAAGTGTTAATGAATCACGGCGCACTGTTAGCTTTCGGCTTGCTTGTTGAACCTTATGCCAAGGTTGACCCTACCTTTATTTGGGTTAACGTTCCGGCCTCGTTGCCTTCAGAACTTGTAGCTTCAGAAACATTGCGAACTATCAAACAACTTATCAGCCACAGGAATAGTTCAGAAATGGGCAAAACACTGTCACGTACCGGAAGGACAAAATCAAGCTAGCGCTCACATCATTAGGATAGGGCCCCAAATCGCAGTGGCGAACAGAAACGAATGGCACGTCATTAGATGTGTCTTGTAGAGCTGAATTCAAGTCCCTCCGTGTCTGCTTTGCCATTATCTAGAAGAAGTGAGCGTTCGTAAGTCCAAAAAACGTCGATATAGTACTGATAACAAATGTTTAGTGTTACCCCATCATGGATTAATTGTTCAAAAGCAGTTTATGTTTCTGTTAGTGTGTGCATTCCTTGCGGTCAGCACACTTAACATCTCAATCATACACTCCCAAGCTGGATTTCGGTGCACATCATGCATTAAAATCCTATTAACTTCACATTTTTGATCGCATTTTTCCAGAGAATCCCGCAGCAGATACTCTAGAATTGGAATCAGCTCATCAAGACGCATCTAACGATATGCATCTCATTCCAGTTCGCCACTGTGATATAGAATCCCTCCCTTGTCAGTGGCATTAGCATTTAAAAGAGCGAATACTGCCGCTGAGATTATGCTCTTGCTAGGATATTAGCTATTTTGCGAGATTTGGTGCGACCGAATCACTTACTCCCCGCTTGTTTTTTCTTAGATTATCCTTCCAACCCTTTCATGATATCATACTAATTCAGCATGTATGCGTTTCTTCTCTGACAGGCATTCCCTATTAGATCTGCCATGTTTAAAAAATGTTAAGCCATCGTTGACTGTTTACAGTGTTTGAAGTCCCACGAACTTCAAAACGTAGGTTCTGCTCGACATTAACCCTGATTATATTCGACAGTGTTCAAGTTGTTATTGTAATTTTTCATTTATATGGTTGTGATACGATTTTTTGAGATTAGCTAATTTACTTGTTTACTACTTTCAGCCAAGTTTGCAGTTCGCAAATAAATCTGAGACAAAGAACACCAACCACTTTCTACTATTAAAAAGAGCAAAAGAGATTCTATAGGCTAATGCCGTTATTGATGACATCAGTAGCAGCAGAGATTGTGGAGATTCAACCTCAAAATATATAGAGTTGTTCAGTACACGATTTGTCGTCTATCGGTCTATTTCCGAATGTAAAGGCTACTGCATGACGAAGGCGCAGGAGAGATATTAGTTGAGCGGGCGCGAACGCGACGCGCGCGTATCTTCACCTTGTAAATCCTGCGCCTTAAGCGCTCTGCGGCTATTGAAGCCGCATTCGCGCCCAAAGATATTGCGCCTTCGTCATGCAGCAGCCTATACAGAAGAGCTTGTGTACTCCAGTGGTGACTGTGTGGTCTATTTATAAAACTGAAAAAGGACATCTCTGCCAGTATTTCTAACTTGCTATTCTATATGTAATGGCATGTCATTTCTTCCACGTTTCATAATTATACGGCACCTCCAAGCAAGATACTTTTTTCCAAAAGAGAGAAAACGCAAGACCTGGTTTTCATAACCTTGTCAAGTCTATTGCGCATTCTTCTAACACAGTCAAACATGTCTTCAATTCAGTGTCACATGCTTCTATAACGGACTGGTCCAAGCTTTTTCAAGGCCTCGTAATGCTTGGGTCTGCATAAAAACGTTGTGTCAGTATTCTCTAGAGATTCTGATGGAATTAGGACAGGATAGTAAGGTGAACTCTAACAGAAATTGCTCGCTTGTTGAGAACGGAGGTGATTGACATGCGTGCATGTTCAAGTTCACGGTGTTGCTGCAACTTGGTGCTGTTATAGATGCTTTGTCATAAAGATGACGGAAAGGATGAACCAATGATTTGCTGGTGTAGTTCAATCAAAAAAAAATGATTTGTGCGCCTTACAAGATCGACTGCCCCGATTTGATCAAAGTCTATATCATTTTAGCACGGGAACTTTAGCGGTGGTTCCCCTATAGTCTGGAGCATTTTGCATGGTACAAAACTTTAATTTCCGACGAGAAATTCGAGCGCAAATTGTCGAGAAGTATTGGAAAGCCAACGGCTGTTCTCCTTCCAGAAGCGCCTGAAACAACATTGCGTTTCAGCGTCCCAACGCGCTTAAACATGCAAGCAGGTCAATTCGACGTTCTCCGCAAGCATCGCGAGCAGCTGGATCACCACACTTTCCTGTCCTAGATTTTTCAGAAATTTCTGAAGAATACACAGAGTACCATTTGATTCAACTGGCTTGGCATCGGCAAAGGCGGGACATCGTGACCTAATTAAGGCTAGGTAATGATCAGAGAGCACTCGCGCGAGAGAGACGCAGGTGCGTCGCGGGCGCGCGCGGCCTCGATCAGATCACAAAACCCGCCCTAGTGGTGCCAAGCCAGTTGAATCAAAGGTTATCTATGCAGAAACAAGTAGTACGAGGCTTGGGAAAAGTTGAAACAGTTTGTTTTAGACGCATGTGACAACATTGAATTGGAGACATGCATGATTTTGTTACAAGCATGTCCGATAGATTTGATGAAGTGGAAGACCCTGTGGCCCGATTAGTTATAAAAACCACGTTTTGTGTTGTCTTTCTTTTGGAAAAAGTACCTTGCTTGAAGATGTCGTATAGTTATTCCTAATTTTTGAGAGTTCGCGATCGCGCAGTTCCCAAATTCGTTTGATTCAATCTATTTGAAGTTTTCCCTTGGACTTATGATAGCATCGATAATTTGACAGCCATAAGACCATATATTAGGTTGAACCGGAAGTTCTGTCGTACCATTTTCGGAAAATCGTAAATTTATCGCAACGATTTTGCATGGCTAAACTTTCATTAGAAAGACCAATCTATGCACTTTCTAGCGGTACCTTGGTTGCTATCTACTTCACTCTGAATGTAGAGATAAAATTGGAGAAAGGAAACCACTTCAAGTCCGGAATCTTGAGGCAAGCCCGTTAAAAAAATTCAAATCTGTGCCGTAAAATCCAAAACAGCAAGTTTCCTAGACTATTTGACCTCTTCTTTCTAGTTGAGCGAAATCCGCGCTGATCGAGCTGTTCTTTAAAAAGTTATGATTTTTGAGAAAAAACATCAACAATAAGTTTGCTTAAGAAACTGATTTTTAGCATTTTTTCTCAAAAATCATAACTTCTTAAAGAACAGCTCGATCAGTGCGAATCCTGCACGATTAGAAAGAGGGGTTCAAATAGTCTAGGTATAATTACTTGAATGACCGATTAACACGACACACCCGATACACAACGATTTATTGGCCGTTACCTCAAACTTGGGTAATTAAACTGTTGTTATGAGCTTTCAAATAATGTATAAAATAAAGTTAAAAGAAGAGTACAAAAAAGGAGACGTGCGTCCGATTGGATCAGGCGAGGTGTTTTTATAGCACTTCTTTTTTTTGTTTTGTCTCAGCGACGGCTTTCGCGCAATCGTTGCCATTTGGACGAGACACTACAACAGATTCTTTCAGACAAAATATAATTTTGCAAATTGTAACAACGATACTAGGATACTGGCTGTTTCGGATTTTATGGCACAGTTTTGGAATTTTCAACGGGCTTGCCTCAAAATTCCAAACTTGAAGTGCTTTCATTTTTCAATTTTATCTCTGCATTCAGAGTGAAGCAGATAGCAGCAAAGGTATCGCTAGAAAATGCTTTGAATTGCTCTTTCTAGTAAAATCTAAGCCATGCAAAATCATCGCGATAGAAAGAGGTTACGATTTTTTGAAAATGGTGCGACAAAAGTTTCGATTCAACCTAATACAATTGAATGTACCAATAAGCTGACAGATTATGCAAAACAAGTTTTGCAATGTCTCAAAGTCAAAGGGCATAGTCTCTAGAACAAAAGATGAGTGCGGTGACATACGTGTTGTAGCATAGTGTGTGTAAAGGCTGCAACATGACGAAGGCGCAGAAGCAGAATTAGTTGAGCGGGCGCGAACGCTACATGCGCGCATCTTCACCGTTGTAAATCCTGCGCCTCATGTGCGCTGCGGCTAATGGAACAGCGTTTGCGCCTAAAGATATTGGCCTTGGTCATGCAGCAGCCAACATGTGACACGAGAAATAGGTAAAGCTTCAAGTTTTAATACAAAGGAAAGGAGCAACAAAGGTGCCGAGAAAGGGTAGTCGAGTAGTACAAGTAAGCTGGCAACGAGTTAATGACTAAATCAGCTACATCGCGAGAGAGGATGCGGACCGGAGTACAAAAAAGTCACGGAAATCACACATTACATGTAATGACGATAACTAACGCACCTTGGGATTCGCTATCGCTCCACCTATGCTTTCATCAAAAAACCTAGCCACTTCGCCACCTATGCACAAGGGTCGCCGTCAAGTCGCATACGAACTTCTGGACAGTACCGCAAAACGATCCTGAGTAGAGGGAATAGACACCAAGTCAGAATGAAATTGCATAGTTTAGTATAAACCATGGCTACTAAGGAATATTAAAGCTAGAGGAAAGCGATAGCGGAGAACTCGTAGGCATTAAATGGTGGAAACTCTATAACGGCACTGCCACCGGAGTGGCAATGAAATGTTTTT